ATGTTAGTTATGTACTACGCGTGATACACGCTTAGGTGATCATGTATCTTTCGATATATGACTGACGAGGCAGATTTTTTTTCTGCAGTTGGCTGCCATTCTGCGGTCGACCTGTTGCCATCCAATGCCATAGAAACCGACCTGTCCTGCTATTTACCCATAGCTGGTGGGGAAAGAAGAAGAGGAGTCATACTTTTCCCTAGGATATTAGCTCGTAAGTGAATGTAATGGTTTCGAATTGAATTCGAACTCGGCTCTCCGATTGAGTTATGTGCCATGCCTGATACACATTTAGGCTGACGAGACATATTTTTTTCCGCAGTAGGTTGTCATTTCTTTCTGCGGTAGACCAGTTGGCATCCAAGGATATAGAACCAAGTCTGTCCCGCTAATCAACCCATAGCTGGAGGGAGAAAAGATGGATTCATGCCTTTCTCAAGAGTATTTGTGCGTAAGTGAATCTGACGAAATCGACTGGAATTCGAACTCGGCTCCCCGTGTTTTCACCCCGAGCCGATATCGATTAAACTACAACGCACATCCAAACCATGAAATTATTTCTATAAAAAAAACACAGGGAAGATACATTGTAACGATGGAAAGTGATTGAAATCGAGGTGACAGGTCAGGATCAATAACATTGCAGATTCTTTTTTTTAAGAATGTCTAAATACATAGCAGAAGCACTAGACCAGATGTGACAGAAATATTCAATGCATAATCGAATGGTAGATTTATAAATGTGTAAGATAGATTCCGACGAAAAAAAATATCTAGCACAGCATAATGTATCAACTTGCGACATCCCAATCAAGTGATTCAATATAATGTTTCCACTTCACGTCATCGAAAATCTTTAGCCCGGGAAGACGCAAAGAGTCATTCTCCTGGACGTTGGCTTTAGCCATGATGATGAAAACCAAAACAGATTCTCAGACGATTAAAGATACTAATCTATTTTCAGATTATTTCCGATATGAGTGTATGTAAAGTTACGAGGTAACGGCTTCACTGGAAATTGTCATTCTGAAGTTAATGATAAAAGTTAAGAGAAGGAAAGAACGACGAGGATGTCTATTTAAAATAAATATTTAAACTAGTTTTAATTCATTAAAATTTTAAGGTTTTCCTATTTTAAATTTCTGATGAGTCTTAATACTTCAGTTAATAATTGAATAAACTAAGGATGAGTTCTACGACAATAAAATATCCATAGAAGTTCCCCTATCGCATCGTTAAATATTTGAGCTTAACAACTTTTAACAAAATATTGCAATAACAATCATGAATGATTTGCTGGTCGCTATTTTAAGAAGTGGAAACAAAGGAAACGATTTGAAATTGACAATTTTTTCTATTTCACTGAAACAGACGTTAAACAATTCCGTCTTTCCACTTTTTTTTCTTTCTTTCTTTTATTTATTTTCTCTCTGAGCCCAAGTATTGTTTCTGATATGTATTTTTATTTATCAAAACAGAATAGTCCATTATAATTCACTACAACGTAAATATCTGGATTGCCTTAATCGCACAATGAACCAACTTTTCTAACTGTATCCCAAGCAAGTGATTCAATTTTCATCTTTCCACTTCACGTCAGCGAAAATCTTTTGCCCAAGAAGGTGCCAAGTGTCATTCTCCTGAAGGTTGGCATTAGCCATGATGATGAAAACCAAAAAAGATTCTCTCAGACGACGAAAGATAGTAATCTATTTTCAGATTATTTCTGATATGAGTGTATGTAAAGTTCCGGGGGTAATGGCGTCACCGGAAATAGTCATGCTGGGGGGTAATGATAAAAGTTAAGAAAAGGAAAGAACGACAAGGATGTCTATTTAAAATAAATATTTATAACTAGTTTTAATTCGTTAAAATTTCAAGGTTTTCCTATCTTAAATTTCTGATGAGTCTTAATACTTCAGTTAAAAATTGAATAAACTAAAGATGAGTTCTACGACAATAAAATATCCATAGAAATTCCCTTATCGCATCGTTAAATATTTGAGCTTAACTTTTCACAAAATATTGTAATAACAATCATTCTATAATAATTGTGCTTGTCCTACTCTTCTCGACCTTTTAGCTAAGATCAAAGTGTAGTATTTTTTCTTATCAGCTTAATCTGATTCTCTCTTTTCACTTCTATCTTTCCTTCCTTCTTTCATCTTCTCGGCCTTTTCCCTAAGATCAAAGTGTAGTATTTTTTCTTATCAGCTTAATCTGATTCTCTCTTTTCACTTCTATCTTTCCTTCTTTCTTTCATCTTCTCGGCCTTTTCCCTAAGATCAAAGTGTAGTATCTGTTCTTATCAGCTTAATCTGATTCTCTCTTTTCACTTCTATCTTTCCTTCTTTCTTTCATCTTCTAGGCCTTTTCACTAAGATCAAAGTGTAGTATTTGTTCTTATCAGCTTCATCTGATTCTCTTTCTTCACTTCTATCTTTCCTTCTTTTTCTTTCCCTCTTCTAGGCCTTTTCACTAAGATCAAAGTGTAGTATCTGTTCTTATCAGCTTCATCTGATTCTCTCTCTTCACTTCTATCTTTCCTTCTTTTCTTTTTTCATCTTTCTAGGCCTTTTTCACTAAGATCAAAGTGTAGTATCTGTTCTTATCAGCTTCATCTGATTCTCTTCTATTCACTTTTATCTTTCCTTCTTTCTTTCATCTTCTAGGCCTTTTCACTAAGATCAAAGTGTAGTAACTGATCTTATCAGCTTCATCTGATTCTCTCTTCACTTCACTTCTATCTTTCCTTCTTTCTTTCATCTTCTAGGCCTTTTGCACTAAGATCAAAGTGTAGTATCTGTTCTTATCAGCTTCATCTGATTCTCTCTTCTTTTATCACTTTTATCTTTCCTTCTTTATCTTCATCATCTAGGCCTTTTCACTAAGATCAAAGTGTAGTATCTGTTCTTATCAGCTTCATCTGATTCTCTCTTCACTTTTTCTTTCCTTCTTTCTTTCCTCTTCTAGGTCTTTTCACTAAGATCAAAGTGTAGTATCTGTTCTTATCAGCTTCATCTGATTCTCTCTCTTCACTTCTATCTTTCCTTCTTTCTTTCATCTTCTAGGCCTTTGCACTAAGATCAAAGTGTAGTATCTGTTCTTATCAGCTTCATCTGATTCTCTCTCTTCACTTCTATCTTTCCTTCTTTCTTTCATCTTCTAGGCCTTTTCACTAAGATCAAAGTGTAGTATATGTTCTTATCAGCTTCATCTGATTCTCTCTATTCACTTTTATCTTTCCTTCTTTCTTTCATCTTCTAGGCCTTTTCACTAAGATCAAAGTGTAGTATCTGTTCTTATCAGCTTCATCTGATTCTCTCTCTTTCACTTTTTATCTTTCCTTCTTTCTTTCATCTTCTCGGCCTTTTTCACTAAGATCAAAGTGTAGTATCTGTTCTTATCAGCTTCATCTGATTCTTCTCTTTCTTTCACTTTTTATCTGTTCTTTCTTTCTTTCTTTCTTTTCATCTTCTAGGCCTTTTCACTAAGATCAAAGTGTAGTATCTGTTCTTATCAGCTTCATCTGATTCTCTCTCTTCACTTTTATCTTTCCTTCTTTCTTTCATCTTCTAGGCCTTTTCACTAAGATCAAAGTGTAGTATCTGTTCTTATCAGCTTCATCTGATTCTCTCTCTTCACTTTTATCTTTCCTTCTTTCTTTCATCTTCTAGGCCTTTTCACTAAGATCAAAGTGTAGTAACTGATCTTATCAGCTTCATCTGATTCTCTCTCTTCACTTCTATCTTTCCTTCTTTCTTTCATCTTCTAGGCCTTTGCACTAAGATCAAAGTGTAGTAACTGATCTTATCAGCTTCATCTGATTCTCTCTCTTCACTTCTATCTTTCCTTCTTTCTTTCATCTAGGCCTTTTGGCTAAGATCAAAGTGTAGTATCTGTTCTTATCAGCTTAATATCTGATACGTCCGTACCAGACCTATTGGATTTATTACTTTGGATTACCTCTCCTGGATTACCTTAGGACAAGGTTTGTATCATCTACCACGTGGGACAATGTCTGACACAAGGTCAGTAAAAAAGGATCCGCCAGACAGGCCGGAAATTTCTGCTCAGGTAAGTAACTCAAGGAAAAAGAGGCACTTGCCCAACAAGGATTTTACCAACAACGGATTACCTAAATCGACCTTATCTCCGGAAGTGGAGAAATATAACCAATTGCCTCCCCAAGAGGCATCCAACTTAGACCAAAGGCTGCTTCCTGAAGAGGCTACCAAAACCGACCCTCCGCTTTCTAATGGGAAGGCAACTAACTCAGATCAGCTGTCTACTAAAGATACAGTGACCGAGGATTTACCTGTGGCTGGAAGACCCCACCCACATGCATTTTCAATTTGAAGGAATTCCTGGAGAGGGCTGATAATTATGCCCATCTTATTAAAGATGGCGGCTTGTTAGTAGACCCCAGGAATTGAGATGTATCAGGAAAGGACGTGTCCGTGTTTGTGGTCGACAAGCGTTTACGCAAGATATGCCGATCCACAAAGGACATTGTTTTCAAGACTCTGTCATCGTTTGGATTTTTGCCGCAGCAAATTATCCGAGGTGCTGGAGCCTTTATGTGGGATGTACTGCTGCCCACACCCGAAGACTGTATTTCCATGATCAACAAGGAGTTGATCACAAAAGATCTGATCCTCCGTACGGAATACAAAGGTATGAGAAAGACCAGGGTGGCAGTGTATGAAGTACCAGCTCATGTCAAAAAGGAGGCGCTGGCTGCTTATTTCAAGCAGTTTGGGCAGATAATCAGCGTCTCCTCGGACCGTAAATTAGGGAATGGAGCTTCAACATCATGCTCTCAAAGGAGGCCTTCAGCTCCATTCCTAACTGTTTGAATATTGGCAAGAGGTCCTTACCTGTCATTGTGACTGGTAGGAAGCCAACCTGCTGGAAATGTGGAAAGCCCGGTCACCTGGCGCCTTCCTGTCCTGAGAAAGCGACCTCTGGGTTCAGCCTGCCTCCGACAAAACACCCCATCAGCCAACAATCAAGACCAGTAATGGGAAATCATCCGATTCGGTGTTGCTGTCTTCCCCTCTGACTAAGGAAAAGGAAGGGGATTGCAAGTTGTCAGCAAGAGTAAAGGGAAGGGCCAAACAACATCTGATACTTCCCCTAAGGCTTGTGCGTCCACAGACATGGACACCCCCCCCTCCTCGCAGCCGTACGGGTGATACTTCGGTCACTGTTCCATGGACTGTCAACGATCCATCATTTGATAAAATCCAGGCGATTATAAAGTTGAAGGAGTCTTTAACAACACCAACATTGTCATCATCATCAGCATCAAAATCATCTTCTTCGACTCCAGCTTCTCCGGCGCCAAAATCATCATCACCATCGTCTCCGACAGACTCTTCTCGCCCCTCATCCTCTGCCCCATCTTCCCCGTCCAAGTTGAAAAAACAACCCAACGCTTCGGCAAGAGCCCTCTCTTTCTCGCCGAAAAAGATTCCCTTGGCTAACACGAAACCGCCTGCGCCGTCCCCAATTAAAAAAGACAACGTTACTCCCGGAAAGAGACAGAGGAGTCCTTCAGATGAAGCCGGCGGGAAAAGAGGAAAAGCTAAGCTGGCTTATAACATGGGGAAGAATGTCTGCCGTGTAACAACAGAAAGTGAGGAGAAAGCAAAGGACTTTGCCAAGAGGACCAACAATTTGAAAGTCCTCCTAGCCATGAAAAAATGTGGCGATAAAGAACTAGACGATCCCACCAACTTTCCCAGGGCAAAGATGGTCCTAACTGTCGTCCGCATCGGGTCTGGTTCACGGCAGATCTGGGGTATGATAGAGGAGGCGAGAAAGAGCTTTCCAGTGCCTTCTCAACTAGTCATCACGAACAATGACGAACTGAACAAACTGAAACAGTTCTGTTGTGGGAGGGTCCCCATTTTGGTTCACCCTTCCCTATACAGGGCATTAAAATTAACATTTCCTTGGGATGTCGGCGGCTTGTCCGAGGACGGGTCCATCAAGACTGCGATGGGCACTGGTTCCATGGGTGAAGCTGTAGGCATTCTCACCCCGACTATGTTTCAGGGCGACGCCCAACCCTAAGGTAAGTGTCTCACAATGGCTCTGTGGTTGGCAACGTTGAATGGGCGAGGGCTGAGGTCAGAGTCTCGCAGGGCGAGCCTTGCGCGTGACCTTCAGCATCTCGGTGTGAATGTTTGTTGTCTACAGGAGACCCATCTTATTGCCAGCGACTATGAGAATATTCTGTCGAAGAGGTTTCACCTCTACTCAGCTTATTTTGATAGTCGCTCAAGAGGGGTTTCTTGGCTGATCAGCAGGTCCCTGGCGGCGTCGTGTTCTCTTGTGTTCGCGGATCCGGAGGGCAGGCTTTGTGTCCTGGACGTTACCATAAAAGTAAGTCTCTTCGCTTCATCGGGGTTTATGCGCCCAACGACCAGGCGGAGCGGGCGTCCTTTTTCGGCGGGTCGAGCCGTTTTTGGCGACGTCTCGGCAGGTTCTTTTTAGCGGGTGATTGGAACGCCGTCCTTGATTCCGAATTAGATCGTAGTGGGTTAAGATCGGGCTCTAACAACCCGGACATGAAACCGTTCCGTGATTTTATCGACAAATCTGATCTTGTCGATAAGTTTCGGAACGAACACCCTGGGCAATTAGCGTGGACTTGGACAAATAGGGGCGGCCCGGATTCAGTAGTTCGCACGAGCTACATCGACCGGGTTTTAGTTAGGAGAGTCGACGTAGGGCTCTTAGAATGTCCAAGTTTTCATTCGATAGTTTACTCGGATCATCGGCTCGTCCGGGTGAGGGTAAACTTAGATAAGCCTAAGCCTAGAATGACTAGTTACTGGAAGTTTAACACGTCATTGCTCGACGTGAAGGACTTCCGGGATCAGCTACTGATAACAATACAGAGGGAATTGACGGGGAGTGTGCTTGGGAACAAGTGGTGGGGACACCTTAAGTCAGTCATCAGGTCGTTTGCAGCTGATTATAGTCGCCGACTCAATAGAGATAGATTAGCAGCGCAAACGGCAGCAGAATCTAGATTAGAGGTTGCCATCCAGTCGGGAGATAGTGTGGAAGTAGAAGTAGCTAGGGCCGAGTTGGCCTCCTCGCTTATCAAGAAGGACCAAGCTCTGGTAGTTAGGGCTAGGTTGAAGAAAATGTCGGCCGAGGCGACCAACATGGCTGCAGAACTGAGGAAGGAGGAGATGCGCAGCGCGTCAGATCGCTACTTTCCGAGCGTCATATCGCCGGACGGACGACAGGTGACTACGAACGAAGGCATCTGTGAGGCCTTTCGATCTTATTTCCGTGACCTGTTCACTAGGGAGCCCGGTCTGAGCCCCGCTAATTTCGACGCATATTTAGCCGACTTTCCACGTCTCGAGACTGGGAAGGCGGATATGTGCGAAGGGGCTGTCACCGAGGCGGAAATCTGGGAAGCATTAAAGCAGGCTGGCCGAAACAAGACTCCGGGTTTAGACGGTCTTCCCTACGAGTTGTACTTGAGGCTGTCGCCCGTTTTCGTTCCGCTGCTGGCACTGATGTTCAACCACTGGTTGAGGAATGGGACCATACCCCAACGCTTCACCAGGGGTGTCATCAAGCTGCTACGCAAGAGCAAAAGCGGAGGGGGTGGGTTAGATAATTTCCGCCCTTTGACTATGCTGAATGTAGAGTTGAAGATTTTGGCGAAGGTCTTGGCCAACCGTTTGCAGCTTGTCCTCGATGGTCTCATAGGTCCCGAACAGACATGCGCTGTGAGGGGGAGGACTATTCAGGACAACCTTCATATGGTACGCCAGATCATGGAAAAAGTCGACGGTGAAGCCGCGCTGATCAATTTGGATCAGTCCAAGGCATTCGATAGGGTGGACCATCGTTTTCTCGAGGCCGTTCTCGCCTCTGCCGGTTTCGGGTGCCAATTTCGTTCCTGGATCCGTCTCCTGTACAGGTCTCCTGGGGCTCTGGTGGAGGTGAACGGGGTGAGGTCGGAGCCTTTCACCTTGTCTCGATCGATTCGTCAAGGTTGTCCGCTTTCGCCTATGTTATATGTCCTTGCTTTGGAACCCTTCCTTCGCAAGCTAAAGGCGAATCCGGTCCTTCGTGGAATAACTTTACCTGGTGCCACAAAATCTGCCAAGTATTCCGGTTATGCTGACGACGTGTCTGTTTTCGTAAAGAACACCGACGAGATTCACGAAGTCAGCAAAGAAGTTTGCAGGTACGAGACGGTGGCAGGGGCCAAAATCAATCGCGATAAGTCTGTCGGCTTGCGGTTGGGTGAGTGGGAGGGTGTTCCTCTCCCCGGTCCCTTCAGCTGGACCGACGGGCCAGTCAAGATACTCGGTATCTGGTTCGGGCCCGGACTTCAGTTAGACACCAACTGGTCGGAGGTTCGAAAGAAGGTCGAGGACGCAGTTCGCCTGTGGTCTCGAAGGAATCTTTCCTTGAAGGGGAGGGCGGAAGTGTGCATTTCGCACATCTACCCGATTCTCCTTTACCGGCTTTCGGTTCTTCCACTCCCGTCTACCCAACGAGACATTTTCGTTAAAAAGCTTTTCGATTTCCTCTGGAGAGGAAAGGCTCACTTGGTAAGTCGGGAGGTCTGCTGCCTCCATCCTGCCGAGGGCGGTCTGGGAATGCCAAGCATCGAAACACGTCAGCACATGCTCCGCTTGAATTTCCTAGAACGGATGTGTACGCAAAACGACGACGAGGGCGAATTCTGGAAGGAAGACGCTCGTCAAGCTTTTCCTTCCCTTGAAAGTGTGCATTCCGATGAGGTGGAGGCTCACCGCCCATCTGATGGTGAATGCCTCTTTTATCAGGAATGTAGAAAAGCGCTGCTCTGTCTCCTTGGGGTTAAAAAACGCCTTTCTGACACTCGGGTGTTGTCACGGAAGGCTTTGTATCGGGTAGTTGTGAGGGTAAAGTCCAAGGACAAGCTCCCGAGCGAGCTGGGCCTTACGAACAAGGAGTTTCGCTCTGTCTCGCCTTGGGCGCCCGGGTTGAAATGTCTCAATAACGACGAGGCATCCCTCACCTGGCTGGTGTTGCGAGAGGCTCTCTGGGTCGGCAAAAGGCTCTGCTCAGCAGGCTTGGCAATTACAGCCAAATGTGTGCGCTGTGGTGACTGCGAGGAGTCAATTGTACATGCCTTCTTTCACTGCGACATTGTGCAACCTTTGTGCAGGCTGATTGAAGGCTTCATGGTTCGCGTCTTGGACGGAAAGTTTTTTGCCCTGGAAGCCGGTTCCGTTTGTTCCAATGTGTTTCCGTCAATGTCATGGGATCAGCACTACGTGCTCTTGTGTCTGCTCGGCATTATGCGAATGGTAATATGGACGACTAGACAGAAGGAGTTTCACGCAGGCGAGAAGTTTTCCTCCTTGCAACTGGTCTCTTTCTTTAGGCATCAGCTTAAGGTTAAGATCAGGACGGAGAGGGTGCGTCTCTCTGCGGCGAAATTTGGCAAAAGGTGGGTGAAAGTTTCACGCTTGGTGCGAGTGAGAGGTGCTGACCTCGAGTGGTTGTTGGATGCAACTTAGGCAAGAGGATTTTGGGACTCGAACCGAAACATCAGTCAACCCAACCTATTTAAGGTAAGATAGGACCTTTTAATCTTCAGTTTTGGCCTCCTCAGGGCTAAATATTTTCCTTTCAACATAGCTAGAGCATGCAAGTACATAAGTCTCCCTTTTTGTCCCCATTTGAGTTACATGTCTCCATCCCATCCCACATTTTAGGTGACAGATGTCTCTTTTCTCTGGATTTCTTTCAAACCAGTTAATTGAGATTTCTGCCACATTTTTGGGTAGGGTCCTACTACTAATATTATTTTGTTTAGTTTCTATTATAAACACATTTTTCATTGTATATAATCATTGGGTTTGTGATTTTTGTCCCCCATCCCTCGATAATTGTGTAAATAAAATTTCATGTTAGGGCTTTCTCATAGAGAAAATGTGGTATTTTGGTGATTGTGGTGTGACAGCAAGGAGTAAAAGCATTATTATGGTGAAAGGATTATTGTAAGTACGAATGGGTCAAAGAATGAGACTAGTTAGTTTGAGATAGGACTAGAGAAGACCAGTCTTTTCCCCACCCCCTTTTTAGCCCTCGTGGCACATTTGTACCTTTTTGGTGAATAAATAATAAGATCAAAGTGTAGTATCTGTTCTTATCAGCTTCATCTGATTCTCTCTCTTCACTTCTATCTTTCCTTTCTTTCATCTTCTAGGCCTTTTCACTAAGATCAAAGTGTAGTATCTGTTCTTATCAGCTTCATCTGATTCTCTCTTTTTATCTTCCTTCTTCTATCTTTCCTTCTTTCTTTCATCTTCTAGGCCTTTTCATCTTCTAAGATCAAAGTGTAGTATCTGTTCTTATCAGCTTCATCTGATTCTCTCTCTTCACTTCTATCTTTCCTTCTTTCTTTCATCTTCTAGGCCTTTTCACTAAGATCAAAGTGTAGTATCTGTTCTTATCAGCTTTTCATCTGATTCTCTTCTTATCTTCATCTTCTATCTTTCCTTCTTTCTTTCATCTTCTAGGCCTTTTCACTAAGATCAAAGTGTAGTATCTGTTCTTATCAGCTTCATCTGATTCTCTTTCTTCACTTCTATCTTTCCTTCTTTCTTTCATCTTCTAGGCCTTTTCACTAAGATCAAAGTGTAGTATCTGTTCTTATCAGCTTCATCTGATTCTCTCTCTTCACTTCTATCTTTCCTTCTTTCTTTCATCTTCTAGGCCTTTTCACTAAGATCAAAGTGTAGTATCTGTTCTTATCAGCTTCATCTGATTCTCTCTTCACTTTTATCTTTCCTTCTTTCTTTCATCTTCTATCTTCTAGGCCTTTTCACTAAGATCAAAGTGTAGTATCTGTTCTTATCAGCTTCATCTGATTCTCTCTCTTCACTTTTATCTTTCCTTCTTTCTTTCATCTTCTAGGCCTTTTCACTAAGATCAAAGTGTAGTATCTGTTCTTATCAGCTTCATCTGATTCTCTCTCTTTTCTATCTTTCCTTCTTTCTTTTCATCTTCTAGGCCTTTTCACTAAGATCAAAGTGTAGTATCTGTTCTTATCAGCTTCATCTGATTCTCTCTTCACTTTAATCTTTCCTTCTTTCTTTCATCTTCTAGGCCTTTTCACTAAGATCAAAATGTAGTATCTGTTCTTATCAACTTCATCTGATTCTCTCTCCCCACTTCTAGCTCGCCTTCTTTCTTTCAGCCATTTCCTCACTGAAACCAAGTAGTGTCTTTCCTCCTCTTTCCATGTGATCAAACCGAAAGAGGTATTGGCAGGGCATGACGGTTGTGCGAAATAACGAAGGGAAGAACAAGCAGTTATTATATGACGAGAAAGACCCGTAATGTCTGTTAATCATTAAATAAGCTCATGGCGTGTTCTACGACAATATAATATCCGTAGAAATTCACCATATCACATCGGTAAATATTTGAGCTTAACAACTTTAATAAAATATTGCAATAACAATCATAAATATGAATGTTAGTCGTTATTTTAAGAAGTAAGGGGGTACAAATGGATTGATTTGAAATTGACAACTTTTTCCATTTCACTAAAATAACCGCTAAACACTTCTGTGTTTCTTTCTTTCTTTCTTCTCACTGAAATCAAGTAGTGGCTTTCCCCTTTTTCCTACTATCAAAATTGAATAGTCCATTATTTATAAAGTATTGGAAGGAGATGTTAAATACTTCTTTCTTTCTTTCTTTCTTCCTTTCTTTCTTTCTTTCTTTCTTTTTTCTTTCTTTCTTTTTCTCACTGAAATCAAGTAGTGTCTTTTCTCCTCTTTCTACATGATCAAAATGGAATAGTCCATTATTTACGAGATATTAACAGTTGATGTTAAACACTTCTATTGTCCCTTATCTCTTTATTTCATTCATTTTCTAATTGAAACCAAGTAGCGTCTCTGATATGTGCTTTTTTATTGTTTATCACCTTTCATTAAAAGAAAGACAAATAAATAAATAAAATTAGTATTCACCCGTAAAAATTTCACGGTTTTCCTATATTAAATTTCTGCTGAATCTTAATTCTTAAGTTAATGATTGAATAAATGGCGAGTTCTATGACAATAAAATATCCGTAGAAATTCCCCTATCGCATCGTTAAATATTTGAGCTTAACTTTAACAAAATATTGCAATAATAATAAAACATATGAATGCTGGTCGTTGTTTTAAGAAGTGGGTACAAATGAAAAGATTTGAAATTAGCAACTTCTTCCAATTCACTGAAACAGCCCTTAAATAATTCTACCTTCTCTTCTTTCTTTCATTTTGCCACTAAAACCAAGTAGCATTTATAATATTTCTTTTGTTTTCTTATGCATTCAAAAGGGAAGAGTCCATTGGTTATGAGGTATTGGCAGCAGACGTTAAACACGTCTATCTGTCTTTATTTTTTTTTACTGATAGCCCATTATTTATGAGGTATTTGGCAGGACGTAACGGTCGTAGAAACTGGCGAAGGTATGGACAAGTACAATTATTATATTATATTACAATTAAAATTTCCAAATCGGAAGGAACCGAATAATTAGAATCGAAACGAACGCTTCTTAATATTAAATTAGATTTCATTTAACAATTTTCTTTGATTTTTTTCATCGACGACTTTGTCTCATTTTCTGCTTAAATTATTCTCGTTTTCTTATCTGTCAAGTGTATCGAACTAAGACAGAAACGAAACGCAAAAATTGGTTCACCAAGAAAACCCGAAAACTCAAATTAATTTAGGCTTCAAGGAATTAATATTGTTTTATATTCTAAATTTATGTTTATAAATATTGAAGTCCAACGAAATCAACTGATTAAATTGAATTATTCTGTTCTTGTGTTGCTTAAGTGAATAAGCAACGATTTGAAAATGCTCAAGACCATTTGAGAAAATGCTCTTAGAAATCTGTACATAAGGAAAAGAAAAAAAATTTCATAATGAAGTTTTGTTCATAATTAGATCGAAATTGATTTAAAGGGAATTATTCTAGAAACTAAAAATTTATAATTTCTTCATGAGTAAATGAAATTAAGTAGATTCTTTATGAAAAATGAAAAAAATTCGGCGGTAACGTACCAAGCCGCCATTTTGCACCAGACGATTACATCAAGACACTTTTCTCAAACGATTCTATATTTTTCTACCGGGAAGAAAAAAAAAAAATAACGTTTAAAACACATTTATTCTGGATTACGTGTTTTTTTATTGATTCCAAATGACTATGAAAGTTTATCACGTAAGAAAATCCGGCATCAAGCCGCCATTTTGCACCAGATCATTACACCAAGACAATTTACTCAAACGTTTCTATATTTTATTCTGAAAAAAAGTTTCAATTATATTTATTCTTGAGTACGTGCTGCTTATTGGCTCCAAATGACTATGAAAATTTATCGTACCAGAAAATCCAGTAGAGGTCGCATCAAGCCGCCATTTTGCACCAGAACACTACATTAAAAAAAAATTCTAAATAGAGGCTGTATTTTATTTCGGAAATAAAAAAGAAAAACAGAAAAAAGCACATTTCAAAAACATTTTTTCTCGAGTACGTGTTTTTTATTGGTTCCAAATGACGACAAAAATTTACCGCCCCAGAAATTTCGGCAGGAGTCGCATGAAGCCGCCATTTTGCACCAGAAGATTACACCAAAAAAATTTTCTCAAACGATTCTATATTTTATTCCGAATCAAAGTTTCACACAAATTTATTCTCGAGTATGTGTTTTTTTATGAAAATTTATCGCCCGAGAAAATCCGGCAGGAGTCGCAGCAAATCGCCTTTTTGCACCAGAGGATTACACCAAGAGACTTCTTTTTTTTTTTTTTTTTTTTAAGCGTTTCACCCCAAGCAAGTCGGGAAGTCACTAGAACGCCATGGGTTACAGAAGATTTGGAGCAAGATCAGATAGGAATGATAGAGGAAAGGATGAAGAGAAGGATAGTAGATAGATCAAGGCAACTGGAGATGTCGATTGACATTACATTTGAATTTGTCTCAAACGATTCTATATTTTATTCCGGAAATTAAAAAAAAAAAAAGTTTCAAACAAATTTATTTTCGAGTATGTGTTTTTTTTTATTGGCTCGAAATGACTACGAAAACTTATCGCCCCAAAATACAAAGAATTTTTATACATCATCATCATCATCATCAATACGATGACCGGGTGTGGTCTTAGGATCGCTGCGCAGTTGATCCTATGACCAGTTTCCTCAAACTCGGACTGTGCCAATGTCTGAGTCCCTGTGAAGGATCTTCCAGGTCTCTCAGCGATGTTTTCAGATCATTTCTTTCCTTTGTCCTCCTCTTCTTTTTTTGCTTGACTTTGTCGGATAATAGTCGAAAGATTGTTGGCCTGATAACATGGTCAAACATTGAAAACCAGGTAAATATTTAACTTTTATAAAACAAACCCAGAAAAAATATGAGGAAGATGATTCTAACGAAAAATTTAAGTCGATTTAATAAGCTTCAATATAATTTTATCTCAAACAGTTAAAGATACAGATCCCTCCCCACCAAGCAATGGATTAAACAAACTGGATTCTCTAGGAGAATTACTACTCTGAAACTAAAACAGTGAAAAATTAACAGGAATCATTTCAAGATCATTCCAATGAATTGGTTAGCATAAATATTATTTTTTCCTGCGCTACCATATATTCTATTACATTCACTTACGTACTAATACCCTTGGGAAAGGTATGAATACTCTTCTTCTCCCCCACAACTATGGATAAATAGAAGAACAGACCGGGTTCTATAGCCCTGGATTGCAACTGGTCTACAGTACAAAGAAATGTCAACCTATTGAGGGAAAAAATCTTCCTCGTGAGTCATGTATCGAAAAATATATGATCGACTAAGCGTGTATCACGCATGGCACATAACTGAATCGGAGAGCGAATTCCAGTTAGATCCATTGCATTCTCTTACGTGCTGATACCCTTGGGAAATGTTTGAATCCTCTTCTTCTCCCACCCCCTCAGCTATGGGTAAATAGCAGGACAGACCAGGTTCTATAGCCTTGGATGGCAACTGGTCCACCGCAGAAAGAAATGGCAACATAGTGCGGGAAAAAATCTGCCTCATCAGTCATGTATCGAAAGATACATGATCGCCTAAGCATGTATCACGCATACCACATAAGTGAATCAGAGAGCCGAGTTCGAATTCCAGTCGAAACCATTACATTCACTTACGTGCTAATAACGTTGGGAAAAGTATGAATCCTCTTCTTCTATGGGTAAATAGCAAAACAGACCGGGTTCTATAGCCGTGGATGGCAATTGGTCTACCGCAGAAAGAAATGGCAACCTACTGCGAAAAAATCTGCCTCGTCAGGCATGTATCGAAAGATACATGATCGTCTAAGCGTGTATCGCGCATGGCACATAACTGACTGGCCATATATCCCAGTACAACCTTTCACATATTGATTGGAGGCGACTCGTATAAATAATTCTCTGGTTAATATACAGTAAGTCCTCGGTTTACGACAGTCCCGACCTACGGCGATTTGTCGTTACGACGCAATATTCATTAATCTAGTTTCGTCTTATGGCGCTCGACTCATACATACGACTCTATACTTACGCATATTCTTTGCCACTCAACTTGGTTTGTTGTGTTTTTATTTACCTTAAAATATGTACGTATTTTTGTTTGTTTGTAACAGAAATCCACTTGTGGAATATAGGGCCACAGCTCCACTACGCTAGGTGTTGCTATAGTAGTTTCAGTAACAAGTAGGTTTTACAGGGTGGAAATGTAAGCCCCACGCACAAATGGTTTCGAAGTCATATTTCTTCTTTCTCTCTGTCTGTTTTACAAATATTTTCATGGCAATTGCTCCGAGGAGCTGCACTCGCTGATTCCCAGACTTCATGAGTTCAAGCGCCCTACGAGGCTGGCATCCCGCTCTCACCCTTTCACTGTCGAAACTCCTAAATGTAGCCGTCTCTTCTACTCCAATAGCTTCATGTCTCGCACCTCTCGCCTGTGGAACTTCCTTCCCTATTCCAGTTTCCCTGAGAGCTACAATCTCCAGCTATTCAAATGTAATGTCAATCGACATCTCCAGTTGCCTTGATCTATCCACTACCCTTCTCCTCATCCTTTCCTCTATCAATCCTATCTGATCTTGCTCCAAATCTTCTGTAACCCCTTGCGTCCTAGTGGCTTCTCGCCTTGCTTGGTGTGAAATGCTTAAAAAAGAAAACAGTCTAAATATAAATAATCTAAATAATGATAACTCCTCATCCCAGAAATTCAGAGAATGATTACCTCGCTTTTGAAAATTTTTATTGCCATTCTTTAAAAGTATATCCTCCTGAAACTGTTAGTTATTAATCAAAACAGCAGTGTCGGTCAACTAAGCATATTTCGGTGAGTACTTTTGCGCTGGTTAATGGTTAACGAGCTAGTTTGGTTGACCATTAGTGGCGTGACACCCTTTTGGTACTTTCAAATTGTGACCTTGTCTTGAAATTAAGCTAAGCTTTGTAAATAACAACTAAACACTCTATCGCTGTTTAAGGTTTATATTTTTGAAGAACCCCTTCATTGAACTCTTTTAACAATCTCTTCCTATTTTTTTTTTATTTCCTCCTTCTTGCCATAATACATTATTTATTCCTGCCACAGCCTCGACTGTCTCCAGAGTCCGCAGGTTCCTTAAGTGGCAGCACATGTTTGAGTAGCTGAAGAAGCGTTCAAAATGGCCGTGTCAAAAAGAAAAAAAAATAGGAAAAGAGAACAACAAAATAAAATAAAATAAAAAGAATATCCCGCTGAGTGTTAAATCAAGCCACTTAAACAGCCCGGATGGCAACAACAAGTTTCTCAGCCAAAGAAATTCGCTGAATATTCACTCGGCGCCATGATGAGCTCTTAAGTTCAACAAAAGCGACTTTTTTTTCTTTTTTTCTTTTTTTTTGCAAAAATAAAAAAAAAATAATTCTCTTTGTAACAAGTGGCAAAACAGCTCTGCTAAGCGGAAATAATTTCCATTCGAACAATTCGTTTAATTAAAGAGCTGGAATGCAAATGAATATGCAAATCACGTATTTCTGACATTAATAATTAATTAAGATGGCAGTTTATGCAAAAACGTGCGCATGCGCATGAATACAAATCCTTCCAAATGTAAAGACACGCTTCAGACAATGTACGTCAGACTATTATGTATTTAGTATTGACGTCATTTAATCTTTAATTGAAGTTAGATAAAAGGTTTTTTTTTTAAAAAATAAATCAAAGTTTTTATTTGAAAAAAAAAGTATCTATAAACACAAACAAAATGTTCTTTTTGTTGTCTTTCTGTTTTGTTTTTTCTTTTTTTTTCTTTTTTGCTATCCTCTGCCAGCCACAATGATGGAGAAAGCATTACCTCGCACCATCGCCAGTAAAACACGCTGTAAGAGCCACTCCGTTTTGCGAGACTCGTCCCTTAATCGAGACGCCATCGCGCCAATCCTCCTAAGGAACGCCATCGAACGAGGGCCAATAACCACAGAAGCCTCCACTGCCACAGGAGTAAAAAGAAAAAAAATCTATCAGCAAAAGAAGAATATTTAACTATTTTTATCTCTGAGTCCCGGGCAACAACAGCGGACCTGATCAAATCAGGGGTCGAAAATGTATCGGCACAGGTTGCATTCCAAATCAACGACTTCCCAGCTTTATAATTGAAATAAAGTTTTTATTTGGACAAAGTATCTATAAACAAAAACAAAATGATTTTTTTTTTGCTATTCTCTGTCAACCGCAATGATGGAGAAAGTATTACCCCGAACAATCTCCAGTGAGACACGCTGCAAGAGCCACTCCGTATCGCGAGGCTCGTCCCATTAATCGAGACACAATCCCGCAAACCCTTCGAAAGAACGCTATCGAACGAGGACCAATAGCCACAGAAGTCTCCATTGCTAATGGAATAAAAATAAATCTGTCCCCAAGAGAAGATTATTTAACTATTTTTTATATATATCCGCGTCCCGAGCTACAGAACCACAGAAGCCTCCACTGCTACAGGAGTAAAAAGAAAAAAGAAATCTATCAGCAAAAGAAGAATATTTAACTATTTTTAACGTCTAAACGGTGGATCTGATCGAATTACGGGTCGAAAATGTATCGGCACAGGTTGCATCCCAAATCAACAACTTCCCTACCCTTTAAAAGGGAAAAGGGTAATCCCATCTGGCCGCTTTCCATCACCATGGTCGAGGCCTACGGCTTCAATTTGGAGGAGGGGGGGACCCATAATGCATCCGGAATTCATCTGTTGATGTCATTTATTGATGCATGCCTTTGAAAGCGGCCGGCACTACGGCAAAATTTTGAATGATTATTTGAATATTTTTGAAAAATAGACATTTGAACTATTTATACATATTAAAATTTATGTCATAGGGTTTTTAATGCCCCCTCTGACTTTGTAGTACTGGGGATACGTTTTATTGAATGGTGAGGGATAAGTTTTTGCAGTAAAGGAGCAAAATGTAATGAATGGGCCGTGAATCAGTTTATATTGGTCTAGAATAGAAAATGTCAACCAGCCTTTCCCTATTTTTCTTTGGCCTTGTGCCACAATTGTTTTAATAAAATTAATAAATATATCTGTCT